CAGGGTGGAGGGATCAATTACTAGGGGACACAGGTTCAAGGTGTAGGGGTGGGAGGGTGTTTAAAAGAGATGTGCCAGCAAAGTTTTTCGTATAGAGGATGGTGAGTACCTGGAACATATTGCCAGAGGAGGTGGTGGAAGCAGACACAATAGCAGCATTCAAGAAACACCTGGATGAATCCATGAATAGGAAGGGAATAAAGGGATACGAATCCTGTAAGTGAAGTAAGTTTTAGTATGGAAGTGCAAAATGTGTTGGTGCAGGTTTGGAGGGCTGAAGGGCATATTCCTGCGCTGTATTGTTCTTTATTCTTCTTTGATACGCAGGTAAGGATTATCAGGTATTATCAGGTCCATATTTCATTCCTGTCATTGCTGAACCATAGCAATTAATGTGTAACTCACCCATTCTGATATTTTATGGGGTCTCTTATATTAGAAATCTTCCTTTGATAGATTTGGCATTATATTATCTGGGAAAGACAGTAGTGTGATTCCAATGAAGTAGCTGAGATAAGGATACATGGTCAGGCACTAAATGGGCTCCTGACTCACTGCTGATCACCCTAAGCTGAGCAGGTCGGTTCTGCCTTACAACATCCAGATCTCCCACTGAAAAGCACTTAGGTGGCAACTTGGATTACATGCTCAAATCTTGTAGTTGTGATTTGAGACCCTAAACTTCACACTCAAGAAGTTCCCTCATAAAGTGACATAAATGGTGAGGCCGCCGATGAAGCGATGTTGTTCTACTCCGCTTGGAATTTATACTGTCTGGTCTGTTCTGGTGCGTTGTGTCATTTCCGGTTCTGTTCTGTACGTGTTTGTATATGGGGTCCCATTCTCTTTGTTTGCTAATTGCACTATAGGTTGACAACCATGCCTTGAGGAATTCCTGTGTGTGTCTATGTTTGGCTTGGGCTAATATAATTGCCTTGTCCCAGTTAAACTGATGTCCTTCATTGTCCTTCACTAACTTGACTAAGCTTTTCAAGAAGGCGACAAAGATGATTGATGGGGAAAAAGCTGTCTACATGGAGTGTACTGATATTAAGGAAAGTTTGTTGTGTTGTTTTGCTGCTAGCCGATATTCATGTATTCTGATAGCTAGTTTCCTTCCTGTCTGTCCAATGCAATGTTTGTAGCAGTCCTTGCATGGTATTTTGTAAACTACGTTGGTTCTGCATGTTGTGGGTATGGGGTCTTTAATCCTTGTGAGTGTTTGCCGTAACGTGGCTGTGGGCTTGTGTGCCACCAAGATTCCTAGTGGTTGCAGGAGTCTCGTTGTCAGTTCTGATACGTTCTCAATGTAGGGCAGTGTGGTCACTGTGTTAGGGTGTACTGTGTCCTCTTGGTGTTGTTTATTTAGTCGGCACCTGTGGATGAATAGTATTGTATAGAATTGTATAGGTGCTCTTCCTCCTTCCTGTTTTAGCTTGTTGTAGTGAGTGGTGGCCCGTTTAAATAGTGTCCTAACACAGCTTTGTTTGTGGACGTGAATTTGCTCCTGGCAAATGCGCTGTTGATGAGGTGGTGGGTCTCTTCCAGTTTGGTGCATTTAATGATGACAAATGTGTTGTCCATGTATCAGATCCAGTTTAGGTTGAATGAGGGGGAGGGTAGTGTGTTCTAGTCTTTGCATGATTGCCTCTGCGATGAGCCCTGAGATGGGTGACCCATGGGTGTGCCATTGATCTGTTTGTATATTTGACCATTAAAGATGAAAGGTGTAGTGAGGCACAGGTCTAGTAGTTTGAGTATGTTGTCATTGCTGATGGAGCTCATTGCGTTCCTGCTTCCTCTAGTAATGTGGCCAGTGTTTCTTTGGCTAGTGGGATGTCAATTGACGTGAATAATGCGGTGACATCAAATGATACCATAATCTCGTCATCACTGATGTTTATGTTCTTGAGGCTATTGAGGAATTCTTGGGTTGAGTGGATGGAATGGAGTGATCATATGAACAGGTCAATGGCTTGAGAGAAGAAGAAAACAACAATCAGCTTCCGTTTCTGGATGTCAGAGTTGAACATATGACCAACGGGGAGTTCCAAAACTCAGTGTACAGGAAAGCAACCCACACTGACCAAATCCTCAACTTCCACACCAACCACCCCAACGTCCAAAAACAAAACTGTGTTAGGACACTATTTAACAGGCCATCAACCTCACCGAACTCCAACCTCACACCAACCTGCCAGAACTACGCAGGAAAGAAGAAGAGCTAGCTATGCAAAATCTTTGCTATGAACAGATATCCCCACAACTTCATCCGCAGGTGCCTACTAAATAGGCAACACCAAGAGGACACAGTACGCCTATCACATTGGCCACACTGCCCTACATCAAGAACATATCAGAACTGACAACGAGACTCCTACGCCCACTAGGAATCATGGTGGCACACAAGCCCTCAGCCATGTTTTGATAAACACTCACAAGGATTAAAGTCCCCATACCCACGACATGCAGAACAAACTTAACTTACAAAATATCATGCAACGACTGCCACAAACATTACATTGGACAGACAGGAAGGAAACTAGCCATCAGAATACATGAACATTGGCTAGCCGCAAAACGACACAACGAACTCTCCTTAATATTAGTACACTTGGACAATGAAGGACATCAGTTTAACTGGGACAAGGTAACCATAGTAGCCAAAGCCAAACATAGACATGCACGGGAATTCCTTGAGGCATGGTCCTCGACCCATAATGCAATCAAAAAACATATAGAATGGGACCCCATATACAAACCCATACAGAACAGAATTGGAAATGACACTACTCACCATAACAAACCAGACAATATAAATTCCAAGTGGAGTAGAACAACATCTCTTCATTAGAAGCCTCACTGATGATGTTACCTAGCATGGTGATGAAACATCTGAACAAGAGCAAGCCCCCTTGGCAAGCAAGTCAACAATCCCATCCACAACCCGAGCTACAAATCTTTGCAAAAACCTTAAAGGGACATAAAGTTGTCTCTGAACAATTGTTGTCCACTCAATCATGGATTTTTTCATACTGACATTGGCAGAAGTTTGCTAGGGCATCATTTGGTTGAACTGGAAGATTGAAACCATACTGTGTTCCAACAAAGTTACTGGAAATGATGCAAAACACCTTAAAGAAATCAGTGAAGATAACTTGAAGTGAACAAACAATATAGATAATTGACAATGGTAAGGGTAATAGAAGAGAATGGGAAAATGGCTTTTTGAAGCAGATCAGTCATAAGCTAATTGAAAGTTGCAGCAGGCTCAAGGGATTGAATAGGTTATTCCTCTTCCTATGCTCTATTTGTGAAAGGCTGCACCATTCATATCCTAATTAGATATTTGTAGAGTTAGCCAGAGAAGAAATACTGTGGGCCATTTTTCAATCACTGATGTCAAAGAAAAATATTGAAAATGTAAGGAAATCATAGTTCTTGAAGCATTCCAAAATTCTTCCACGATAAGCATAAAATGCTGAACATTTAAAGTCAAAACTATCCTAAATTTTGAAGATTATATATTTTTCTGTTAGAAGAGTTGACCATAAAACAGTGGGGAATTTCTTCAACTTACTGTGGCAAACAATTATGTACACCAGTATGTAATATAACACTGTTGCAAAAGTATAGATACAGGAATGAGTGAATGTAGGTTTAAGGGAGTTCTGCACTGACTATTATTTTCCTGGAGAATGGGAAAGTGAGATTCCATACACAAAGAGACCAATATTTTGGAACACTGTGCATAATATTATTTTAAGTTGACAACATTGTTATCTCACTGGAACATCAGATCAAACTAAAGGTTGCAAGGGAGACTTCTACAGATTTAGCCCTTTTTCTACTTTATTATGTTTCTCAATGAGGAATTATATTGAGCCTGATTCTTATATCTGAAGATTACAATTTAATTTTCTCAAAGGTAGAGCTGTTCAAAAATCCAGGCCAACATAATTTGAGAGTCAATAGGCTGCTATTATTTAGGTTTGTCCACTTACTGTTGAAATTTTTGAAACTCTGCCTTCCCTTCTGGTCTACTGGCACATTACCAACTTGTCAGAAAATAATACTTGCAATTGGGAAAAATGATCACTTAAATAGAATTCAGAGAATGGTTTTCTTTCCAATCTCTAATTGCATCTTATTATCAAAATCATGAATCCTTGGCTTATTTCGTGAGGTTATTTATATTATTACTTGATTCACTACTTGACGATGCAACTGCCAATTCCATAAAAAGCATAGGGAAGCAATATGTTAGTCAACAAAAAGGTTAAATATTACCATCTGAACACAAAATGGGCAACTCTCGATTCATTAGGCATTCTTTTAAGTTATTTAAAGTTCTGAAGTAGAATAACAAGGACAGGCAACAGCCTCCATTTTAGCATTCCTTGGTTCCTGATGTGACAGTTAGTCAGTTAACTGAAGGCAGTGCTGCCAAAATTGGGAGAAAGGAAGAGCAGTCAGCAATCAGTCTTATTTCAAAATAACTTGATTAGTTCATGGAATGTTCGCTTTTTGCTATAATTTTAAGGCTAAAAAGTTTGTGAGACTGGTATTCAGTGTAAATCAATCTTTCAGCTTAAAAAAAATGGTGAGCTTCAGTTGGAAAAAAATGACATTTTCAATCTTGTAATTTTTCTTTTGCCCTTTTTCATAACAAATTGAAAATAGCCTGGGTAAAAATTATGTAGGAGTCTTTTACTTCATCCTTACAATGCTTTGATTAAAAACTCTCCAGTTATTTTCAATAAGTTAATTTTCTTATTATTTGCATTGCAGTGTAAGATTGTATTTCAATAGAATTTCAATTCAATGTTAGCAATTTTATCACAATACATTATAAGTGCTTCTTATCAAACTTTTTTTTTAATAAATAATCATTAAGGGCCATCTGTACCAATGAATAAAGTTTATATTTAAAGAAGGTCATTCACTGACAGATCTTAGCATTAAAATTATAGCCCAAAACATTTTCCAACCATACTCACTTATTATGTAGCCAGACAATTTTAGGCTTGGGATTCCCTTCAGCTCTACAGGTAAAGTAAACAGTGTTTCCTAAGGTTACATCCACATCCCGTGGTTCTGAAGTAATTCGTGGCCTCGCTGGAAAAAAAGAGTTGCATTACATGCATACTGAAAGAGTATACTTATTTAGAACAAAAATATTCCATTCCAGTGCATTGGACTTTGCAGGATTCTAACAGTGCACACTATTAAAATTAACTCAAAAGATAAGAATATAATGTATGAATGTTTCACTTCGTTACACTGCTGCTTTAAAGCTGGTGGAGGTGTGTATCAAGGCAAAGTTATGCCTGGCACTTTATTTGATTTACTCTCCTGTATTATTCTATGAACCATGTTTCATTCCTGACTTGAAGATAATGCTAGAGTGAAGGACAGGCTGCGTCAAAAGGTTATAGATTATGTTTGGATATAATTCTGTTTTTGCTGATGGTCCAAACTGCCTCATGGATGTCAGATTTTTGGCTGCTGAACTTGTTCTGAATCCATCCCATTCAGCATGGTAGGAGTGTCACACAATATGGTAGAGGATATCTTCAATGTAAAGACAGAACTTTGTCTCTACATGGGCTTGGTGATTGTCATTCCGACCAATAATGTCATGGACAGTTGGATCTGCGACAGTTAGATTGGTGACAATGAGGTCAAGTATATTTTTCTTTTGATTCGGTTCCCACACCAGTTCCAACAGACCCAGTCTAGCAGCGAGGTCTTTCTATGTGCTTCCGGACTCTGTCAGTTAAGTTCATAGTGAGACTAGTATACAGTCATAGAGTCACAGACCCTTCAGCCCAACTCATCCATGTCGAGCAGATATCCTAAGTTAATCTAGACCCATTTGTCAGCATTTGGCCCATATCCCTCTAAAACCTTTTCATATACCCATTCAGATGCCTTTTAAAAGTTGTAGTTGTATCAGACTCCACCATTTCCTCTGGCTGTTCATTCTATACATGCACAAATCTTGGTGATGGATATTGAAGTTATCCATCCAGTGTGCATTCTCTGCCTTTGCCATTGACTGTGTTTCATCCAGGTAGTCTCTAACATAGAGCAGAATTGATTTATCAGCTATGGGATAGTAGTGGGAGGTAATCAGCTGGAGATTTTCTTGTCCGTGTTTACCTTAATACCACGAGACTTCATGTGCTACTACACTGATAGATCTCTCCTGGTTCTAGTATAGGACAAACCCAGGGATGATGTTGGTGGGGTCAGTCACATTGCCTGAATCACAGGTGTGATTCAGTGAGTATAATGATATCATGCTGTTACTTGACACATTGTGGGACAGTTCTCCCAGTTTTTGCATAAGCATCCAGAAGTGGGTATGGAGGAATTTCAGGGTCATCAAGGCTGGACATGATGCTGTCATTTCCAGTACCATGGCCATGTGGTCGACTCATTATTGTTCTTCCTTTTGTTTTCTTCTTAAAAGTTTAGTACGCCTGAGTGAATTGCTAGGCCATTTCAGAGCATGGTCAACCATTCCACCATGTTCTGTGCTACCATAAAATATTTACAGCACTGGAGAAGACTATTTCACTTGGTGTACCAGTGTTAACTCACTGCAAGGGAAACTTAGCTTAGTCCCTTTCCTCTGCCTTTTCCCCCATTACTTTAGACACATTTTCCCTTTAGATACAAGCATTTTTAAAATCCACAATTGAATCCATCTTCATCACATTCACCCACTGACATTCAACCAGTGCCTGTATCTCAACCAGTGCCTGTGTAAAAACATTATTGTTCATGTCATCTTTAGTATGATCAAACACTATACCTTGACATGCAGTGTCAATGGGAAGGTGGAAAGGTGAGGTGTGGGACTCTTGATGAACAGAGACTTGAGATTGTGGTTACTGGTATTGCACTCAGATTAGGCAATCATGATTTCAGCTGTGGGATTGAGGGTTTACACTCCCTGTGCATCTCAGTGTGCTTTACTGTCATTTGCCATGAGCAGATAATGAACAGAAGTAAATGCTTCTCAACCCCAGGAGCAATTGGAAGGTGGGTGGGAATTAATATAATTGGGAAGGATGCAGTGGGGTAGACAAAATGTCTCCTTCCAGTCACTCCTGATTCAGACAGGAATATGGAAAGTCTAGAACAATTGATGCCCTTGGGTGGCCATTTCTGGCCCCAGGCCACCTTTTTTGCCCTGAGTCTCTGCTTTCAGTCTCCCTGTGTTTCAAGGACCTATCAGCAGCAATGGGCACCACTGCCATAAGGACCTCCCTACACTTCCGTTGACCACATTCTGTCATCAGGGTTTGTCTAATTGGCCTGGGTGAGCTCAATCCACTTACCTCTTCTTCAGGCTCCAGTACTGCACTAGGATTCAGTCCACCTGCAGTCCAGTAGTGACATTCACTCTTATTGCTGTTGCTGGAACTGAAGAGCTGCTAGCACTTTTATTGGCTGGCAGCTCTTAAAGGTAGAACTTCACCCTGACGACAGGCACACAGGATTGAAATGTAATCCTGTTGGACCACCTTTTTCTTTAACCTGGTGAAAATGCCAAACAGCCATAAAATTCAGCTCTATGGGTTTAAATATCTTCCAATTCAGTGGAACAGGGTTGATTTGTTAAAACATAAGATACTGATAAATTAGGAAAACCATTTTTTTCAAGTGTTAAGGATTTGGGCATTGATAAAAATAAGGGAATCTTGAGTATTGCTGAGAAAGGGCACATTTTTCTCAAAACTGTTTATCTTGCATTCCTCAGCAAGAATGCCAAAACAAGAGGAGGACCGATATTTATGCTGCATGAGAGGTAAGTGCTGATTGGCTGGAAACTGGACTCTGATCAGTAACAATTATTACAATTGAAAGGCAAGACATATTAATGGTTTTAATAGGCTTAGAGTTGGAGAAGTTCTGAGGCTACGATGAGATGTAAGCCAGGCTGCTGTTGGAGGAAGGGAAGAAATTACAGGGACCCTAACATTAATGTTCAAATTTTCTCTGAACACAGGAGAATTACCAGATGATAGAAGAACTGATAATGTAGTATCGTTATTCAAGAAGGCTGATAGGCATAAACAGGGAAACTATAGGTAAATGAGTCTAACATCAGTAGCAAGGCAACTATTGGAAAAATCTCTAAAGGACAGAATTAATCTCCATTTGAAGAGGGAAGGATTAATCAAAGGTAGTCAGCATGGTTCTATCATGTCAAAATCATGTTTGAGAGGTTTGATTGGGATTTTCAAGGAGGCGTCTAGTGCATTAATAAGAGTAGTGCAGTGGATAAAATCTACGTGGACTTTAGGAATCCATTTAACAAGGTCTCCCATGAAAGACTGTCAAGAAACAAGAGCCCATGGGGTCCAAGACAATTTGGAACAATTGGATTCAAAACTGGCTTAGTGGCAGGAGGGAGAGGGTGACGGTTGAACATTGTTTTTGTGACTGCAAGCCTGTGTCCGGTGGTGTACTGTAGGGTTCGATAATGGGTCCTTTGCCATTTATAGGGTACATTAATGATCTAGATATGAATGCAGAATGTTTGATTACTAAGTTTACAGAGGGCATGAAAATTGCTAGTGTGGTAAAGAGACAGGAAGAGAGTCTTAGGAAGATATAGATGAAGTGGTCAGATGGGGTAAACAATGGCAAATGGAATTTAATCTTGAAAGATTTTATGCAATGAGTTTTGGAAGGATTATAAGGCAAGGGAGTACATGACAAATAGTATGACCCTAGGAAGATCAGAGGAACCTTGGTGTCTACAGCTCCTTGAAGACAACAGCACAAATTAATAAGTTAGTTAAGAAAGCATGTGGGGTAATTGCCGTTATTAGGTGAGGAATTGAATAAAAAAGCAGGAACGTTATGTTGCAGCTGTATGAGAATTAGATAGGCCACAATTGAAGTACTATGTGCGGTTCCTGTCGTCACATTATAGAAAGGATTTGCTTGCACTCGTGAGGGTGCAGATGGGATTCACCAGGATGCTGCCTGGGCAGGAATGTTTCAGCTATGAAGAGAGACTGGATATGCTGGGGTCATTTTCCTTTGAGCAGAGAAGGCTGAGGAGGGATCTGATCAAGACATACAAAATTATGAGGAGCAAAGATAAGGATGTTTTTCTTTTCTTGTTAGTGTGGTAAAAGCAGAATTGTTTTTTTCAATCCCACAGGGAATTCTCTCTACCCCAGACTCCATACCACATATAGTTTGTTGATTGGAAACTGCTCCCAAAACTCCCATCCAATAACTGATCTGTAAGGTGGGAAACTTCAGTCCTCAGTTTGCCAATGTTCAATATTTCGCATCCACCTGTCTGCTGGCCCATTTCCAATTCTGGATAGGCAACTGGTTGTAGGCATACAATGAACTTCTGGGAGTTAAATTCACTTGAGCCACAATGAGAGGGATTTGGCACTTACTTGCTTGTTCAGTTAATGTTGCATTTGACCTCAGAGTTATATTCACTGTTGGTATGGAGACTATTGCAACAAACTTATTTTAATACTGATTTCAAAACTGCCACTTCTTCAAATGCAACACTCCTACATGACCTGTTGTCTCTGGTTCAGAGCTAAGATTACTATCAACTGTTTCAAGCTGATACTTGCAAAATCTAAACAGTTTGAAGCTGTCAACAGTTATCCAACCAAGACATAAGAAGATAAGAACATAATAAATAGGACCAGCAGCAAGCCATTCAGCCCTTCAATCATGCTCTGCCATCTAATAAGGCCCTAACTGATCTTCAGCGACAACACCACTTTCCCACATTATCCCCATTTCTCTCAATGCTTTTAATATGCAGCAATCTAGCACTTTTAGTCTCAACAATCTCAATAACTGAGCGTGCATGGTGTTCTGGGGTAAAAGAATTCTAAAGATTCATTACTTTCTGAGTAAAGAAATCTACCTCATCTCAGTCTTTAAATGGCCTCCTTCTTAGCCTGGAATTTTGTTGCCTGATTCTAACAACCACCACCACCAGCTTCATGCATCCACCCTGCAATTAATATAAAGATAAAGGCTAAATCAGTTCAAGCTTTCTTCATTGCGCTATCCCTCCAACCCAGGAATTAATTTGATGAATCTTTGTCGCA